TTCCATCTCATTTAACTTTTGCCTACTAATTCTATTATTAAAAGTGGTATATATAATTTCTTACTATTTTTGTCTATTTATCCCTTAAATTGGCCAGTTCAAACGGGTATCTTTAGTTAAAATCCAAAGCAATCATAAAGCTCACCCTGATTCTTTTCTGTCAGGGACCACACCATTGTACTCTCAGTTGAGAGTCTGAAAACAGTTTCAGTTGTTTGATATATTTGTTCAGTTATCTGGTTCTTCAAAGCAGGAGTATATGCCTGATCCCAGTCTGCCCATAATTTTGTCATTTGGTTTATTTTAGCATATTTTGTACAATTCTAAAACAAGTTGCTTATAGATTCCCCTTACCCCATGTAAAGTCAAATTGGAATTTGTACTCCTTAGTTTCCTAATAACAGCATTATAAGTATTAATTTAGTTAGTATATGAAAAGTGCTTAGAAGAATTAAGCAGTACATAAGAAGTATTAAATAAGTTGTATCACTGGTGTTGTTATAATGAACCACAGTGACCTCTCCACAAAGTCAATGGCTCCCACATTTCCATTTCTTTACCTCCTACCCTTACCTGTCTCCTTATACTGACTTGGGGGAAGGAAGATGAGGATTATTGTTATAGGTAGTAGAGCTGGCTTAGACGCCTTTTGGCAAGCTCTTATGAAGGTATCTAGTCCCAATTGTTGGAGTTTCTTCTTATGACATATAATGACTCTTTGTCCTCACCTGTGAGTCCCATCAGTTTATAGTAGGCAAACAAGACAAATCTAACTCAGTATCTTACTTTTCTTGTATTTGCATGTATTTTTATACAAGCTTCTACTTAGAAATGGAGATGTAGAGGGATGCCTGGGTGGGTCAGTCGGTTAAGCATCTGCCTTTGGCTCAGATCATGATCCCACGGTCCTGGGATGAAGTTCTGCATTGGGCTCCTTGCTCAGCAGGGAGCCTGCTTTTTCCTCTGCTTTTGCCCCTCTTTCTGCTTGTGTCTCTGTCAAAATAAATAAATCTTTAAAAATCTTTTAAATGGAGCTCAGTCAGTTAAGCATCCAACTCTTGGTTTCAGCTCAGGTGAACTCAGGTCATGATCTCAGTGTTGTGACCTAGAGCCCTGTAGTTCTGTACTCAGCAGGGAGTACCTTGGGATTCTCTCCTTCTCCCTCTGCCCCTCCTCCTCCTGCTCTCTTTCTCTCTCTCTCTCAAATAGTAAACAAATCTTTAAAAAGGAAAGGGAGATGTATTCTGTGAAATGTTCAGAAGATCAACAAAGAAGTTCCTATCTAGTAAGATTGTTGGAGGATGAAACAAAATAATTCAGGACAGTGATATGATCATATTTGTTGCTTGGAATCATCATTCTATTGGAAAGTAGCAAGATGTAAGGCAAAGAGATCAGTAAATATTGTGGTTGTCCTGGAGTTTGTGGCTGTTTGCATTAGGGGAGTGGCAGTAGAGGTATAATGGAAAGTAGAGGTATAATGGAAAGTAGAGGCAGTAGAGGTATAATGGAAACTGGAAGGATTCCTGAGATCCTTAGGAGGTAATCATTGAGACCTGTCATTTATTGGAGCACTTGGTATTTTTCAGTCATGTACTAAATTCTTTATATAAATTATATCATTTAATCCCAACAACTCTATGAAGCATTAGCCTCATTTTGTAGATGAGACACAGGGAAGTTTTAATATCCAAATTTTAGATCCAAGTTATACAACATGTAAGTAAATGCAATTAATTCAAACTCAGATTTGTTCAAAGCTATGCTTCTTACCACAGTGCTAAAATCTTCAGCACTTGGATCCTTCCGTGTGTCATGAAAACCATGAGTCTAACCATCTGCATGAAAAGCTGTTCACAGAGGATCCAGGAATTCCCCACCCTATCAATAAATCGTTATGCCTCTATCACAACTTAACATTTTGTGTAAAGTTTCGCAGGCGAGGTAAACATAATACCAGGCAAGGTGGGCGCAAGGCAAGATTTATTAAAGGCACTCTCTAGCGAAGTTTCAGGGCTCAGGAGAAGGGGAGCCAGGAAAGTCACGCTGGGAGGAGGTGGGCACCCTTGGGCGAGGTTCCTCAACTCCGGAAAGGGGAGTGGGGGAAGTCGCACTGGGAGGGAGTTGGCGGGGATCTTTTATCGGGCCAAGGCAGGGCATGGGCTCACATCCATATTTGGTGATCGGAAAGTATGGGGTGAGGGCTCCTGATACTCCTGTTTCCTGCATAGGTATCGGGTTACCTATGGAGAGGTGACCTGGGCGTACACCCTTTTGGCTGGAGAGTCTAGGGTTAAGGAAGGGGGTGGGGAGGGGACTGGAAGATGGTGGCCCTGGTGGTCATTTCTATTGTTCCTCCTGCATTCCTGGAACCGCCGACCCAACATTTTTTAATAACTGCGACAACAATGCTTCACTCTTCTTAAGACCTCTTCTCTTTCTTTTAAGTATTTTCTGGAATCATTTATATCAAAATTGTTAATGGCAACTTTTCATTCATAATGAGCTACAGTCTTTCTAAAAACAAGTTTTAAGAACACATTCCTCTTTGCAAAGGAAACAGTCAACAAAACAAAAAGGCAACCTATGGAATGGGAGAAGATATTTGCAAATGTCTTATCAGATAAAGGGTTAGTATCCAAAATCTATAAATAACTTACCAAACTCAACACCCCAAACCCCCCAAGTAATCCAGTCCAGAAATGGGCAGAAGACATGAACGGACATTTCTCCAAAGAAGATATACACATAGCCAACAGACATGTGAAAAAATGCTCAGTGTTACTTGGCATCAGGGAAATACAAATCAAAACCACAATGAGAAACCACCTCATATCTGTCAGAATGGCTAAAGCTAACAACTCAGGAAACAATAGATGTTGGTGAGGATGCAGAGAAAGGGGATCCCTCTTGCACCTTGATGGGAATGCAAACTGGTGCAGCCACTCAGGAAAACAGTATGGAAGTTCCTCAAAAACTAAAAAATAGAGCTACCCTATGACCCGGCAATGACACTATTAGGTATTTATCCAAGGGATACAAACATAGTGACTCGAAGGGGCACCTGCATCCTAATGTTTATAGCAGCAATGTCCAAAATAGACAATATGTGGGAAAAGTCCACTGATAGATGAATGGATAAAGGAGATTTGCTATCTTTATCCATTCTATATAGATATAGACAAAGATATAGATATATTTATCTATTATATATATATGTATTTATCTATTTATATATGTATCTATATCTATCTATTGTATATATGTAATATATATATGCCAATATATATTGTATATATACAGAATGGATAAAGATACCACATATATAATATATACATTACCAATATTCATATATATACACACACACCACATATATAATAGAATATTACTCAGCCATCAAAAAGAATGAAATCTTGCCATTTACAATGACGTGGATAGAACTAGAGGGTATTATGCTAAGCAAATAAGTCAGTCAGAAAAAGATAAATACTATATGATTTCACTCATATGAGGTTTTTGAGAAACAAAACAGACGAACATAGAGGAAGGGAAAAAAATAAAATAGGTAAGAACAGAGGGAGACAAACCATAAGAGGCACTTAACTATACAGAACAAACTGAGTGTTGCTGGAGGGGAGGTGGGAGGGGATGGGGTAACTGGGGTGATAGTCATTAAGGAGGCCACCTGAAGTAATGAGCACTGGATGTTTTATGCAACTCATGAACCACTGAATTCTACCTCTGAAACTAATACAGTATATGTTAATTAAATTGAATTAAATAAATATTTAAAAAAAAGAAATCAAAGGGAAAAAAGAACACATCCATCTTTCTGTTGTATATATTTCAAACTAACATATCACCAAAACTAATTCACTTAGATTAGTACGAAAATCCTTAGCAACAAAAAATTTGGTAATGTGACCAGTTTCTGTTAGTCCTAATTCCTCAGTGTGGCTGAATGAGGTCTAAGAAAACATAAATAAGATGACAGTGTCTGGGAGAAATAAAAAACTCTTTGATTCTCAATAAAAGTATGGAGGAAAGGTAGGATCTCTTGCATATAGGAACTAAAGAAATAAAACTGCGTAGTACAAACAGAGAGAGAGAGCATGATACTGAGATCAAACCAGTAAAGTTTTACGACTGATTTTTGAGATCTGAAATTCTAGGGGCAAAGTGCTGTTGGGTTATGGCCTCAGTAGTTCACCTAACCAAAGGGCTTCACATGCTTAGGAGCTCCTCAGAAGAGTAGTAGCCTCCAGCTGCCCTGTATGTTTTAAACTTCCAAAAATGTGTCTGCCTGGAGGGTCTATATTTATCTTATGACTCAGCAGAAGAAACAGGTGGCTGGGTCTTTTTTCCCTCCTATCTTGAGTCTTTTTTCCAAATGTACTCATTGTTACTATATTTCTGATTAAAGAAGAATATAATAAATTGATGGAAAAATGGAAGAGTAGGAAATTATCAGAACAAAAGTGAAAAACCACTATCTCAATCATTACTTCCTTTCCTAATTTACCCCACCCCCTCTAATTTGATTTCAAGAAATGAACAGCAAGGCAAATGGTGGCTATTGGTGAGTTGGGGGGGTGTCAGTGGAGGGAAAACTGCTACCTTTTTTGTTGTAGCTTAGAAGAGGATGTGCAATCCCCTCAACACAACCACTAAAGTAACAGTGGTTAACATGACTATGGAAAGATGCAGCCCTTCTCTGGTAATCAGAGAAAGGCAAATTCCAGCCACAGGGAGAAGGGGTCACTTTTGACCTCCGGAATTAGCAGTGATGAAAATGAGGGACAGGGCCTGGTGTGGTGGGGAGGTGGGAGGTTGGTAAATCGTTGCACTTCTGCAGCACAGCTGGTGGGAGGGGAAAGTGGGGGCCAGAGTTGGAGGATGACATAATCCTCACGTGACCAGGAGCTGCTGCGAAGTCCTTATATTCCCGGGCTTCTTTCTCCTCTGGGTACCAGCTCCTTACTGTCCTGTTGGCGTTCCTGCTTGTGGCCAAGAGAAAGAGGACTTAAATTCATGAAATCTCAGAAGGTTGGTTTGAGGAAACCTCTGGGACGCCTGGGGTGGTAGTGGCTGAATCTAGCGACAGGAATAGGTCCAGGCTCACTTTGCCCAAATCCTTGCAAACTCGTTGGGAGATGATCGTATTTTTTTTTGTTTGTTTGTTTTTGAAAGGACGGTGGGGAGTAGGTAGAAGTCTCCTGAGAGACACCTACAGATTGAGTGATAGTTTAGAAATAATCGGCTTCTCTCGGATTGGCACGCTTTCCGTTTATCCTCCTCTTTCTCCAATTCCGTTGAGGAAATGAGGTGTGGGCTGTTGTGTGCGGAACGGCTAGAATCCTGGGGTGGAGGCAGAAATTTAGACGTAATTTGAAAATATTTCCTCTCATTCAGTGGCTGCCTGTTGGTCCTGCGGTGGGGGGGGGCGAGGGGACTGCAGCCCTGGCAATGGCTAGGCCAAAAGGTTGAGGGGCTGGGGGTGGAGGCAGGGATCCCGGAGGAAGGGATAAGGATAGGAGGAACCAGGAGGTAGGAAATTTTGGACAACGACAGTTGTGAGGATCCTGGACTCAAGATAATGAGTGTCTTGTCTCTCGGACTGGTGGATCCACAGAGAACTCCCTTCTCCCCGCTCCCTTCCTTTCTGTCTGCAGGTCCAAGGGTCTGTGTTCACAGACATCTCGAGGCAAGAAAAAGAGAAACTATCCCGAATCCTCACAGGTCAGTGCGAGGGAGGCACTCAGACCGGGTCTCTGAGGGTGGAAGTTGGGAAGGGCTAGAGCAGGGTAAAATTTGCAGCCTCACAGCTCAATTACTGGTCTGCTCCCTTTCTCCCAGGCCCGTCAGAGAGGCCATTAGCCTTGTCTGCTGGGGAAATGGTGGGTTGCAGAGGGAGGAGAAAGGAGGCGGAGTTGGAGTGCAGGAGGAAGGAGCGGCATCTTGAACTTCAGAGGGCTGGACCTGTGTGGCAGCGGGTGGGAGATTAGGTATCTTGCTTCAAAGAGAAACTGACAAACCTGAATCAAAAGAAACGAAGCAATTCGCTCTACATTTTCTCCCCGGGCTTAAGCTGGAAACAACATCATGCAAAAACCCTGCAAAGAAAATGAAGGAAAGCCCAAATGCTGCGTGCCAAAGAGAGAGGAAGAACGCCCCTATGGAGAATTTGAACGCCAGCAAACAGAAGGGAAATTTAGGCAAAGGCTGCTTCAGTCCCTCGAGGAATTTAAAGAGGACATAGACTATAGGCACTTTAAAGATGAAGAAATGACGAGGGAGGGAGATGAGATGGAAAGGTGTTTGGAAGAGATAAGGGGTCTGAGAAAGAAATTTAGGGCTCTGCATTCTAACCATAGGCATTCCCTGGACCGTCCCTATCCCATTTAATGCATTTCTCACCTGAATTCAACTATTTTCTGTTATTAATATTACCACCATTGGCTTCTTTTTGTCTGCATTTTCTTGCTAGATATTGCTGCCTTTTTACTCCTATCCTCTAGTGTTCCTTTGATTTGCATATGACTCCTGTTACCAATGTCTCATCTTTTGACCCAATCTCACTCATTTAATGAGGATGTTTTATTCATTTGCATGGGAAGATGCTTATTTATATTGTAAAGTAAAAATAATAAGTTGCAAAACAGTGTGTGTGTGCATGTGTGTATATATATACACACATATGTGTACATTTATATATGACAAAATGCAAAAGAAAAAGTATGAATTATTATACACCAAAAGGTTAACAGTGAACCTCTGTGTGATTTATATTTCATTTCTTTTTTGGCTATCTGCATCTTCTCATTTTCCACAAAATGAATATATATGTGTGTGTATGTGTGTGTATTGTGTCACAAAAAACTAAAATAAACAGACACAAAAACCTTGTCAATCACCTTTGAAGGGCAGTAAAACACTTAATAAACTTCTGACAACAGAACTATAAAAAAGAAATGTAAACTTCAAATTACCTCTGGATCTCTTAGTCAGAGGAATAAAACTGGCAATTATTACAGATATACTTGCTTAAGACTCAGTCTTTTTCACGGGGAAAACATTTGGCTCACAGGGCTGCTGTGAGGAAGAAATGAGGTGACTCTGAGCTGCGCTTGGTGGACTGGTGTTCCCACCTGTGCGTATAGAACCCCAACCCGCTGCAGAGCATCAGTTATTTGAGGGCGGGCCCTGACATGACTCACCGTGCTCAGGAACAAGTCCATTAGTAGGCAAGGCAGTGGGGGCTTCATGCCAGTATTTGTTGAGCCCTGCCCTCCTCTTCTCCTGGGTTCTGCCCCCTGGGTTCTCCCCTGCTGGGCACCTGCTGCCTCTTCTGCTGCGACCATTGTTCTCTGCTGGCCTTCACTGTTCCTGGTGCACTGGGGTCCCCCCAGGTGCCAAAACCCACTCACTTTCCTGGAGTTCCTAGTGGGCTGAACCCCTCACTCTGTATTCTGAAGCCTCTCTGCTTCATGGTGACCCTTCACACAGGTGAGACTGCTTGGGCCTTGCAGGGTTCCTAGCAAGACAGCCTCTTCTGTTTTCAATCCCAGGACCCCTCCTCTGTATTAGGGGTTGGACATGATGAGGCCGTTTTTGGAGTTGGACCAAGGTACAAGTTGGAATAAAAAAAAAAAAAAGCTGTAGTTAGCGTTGCCTTAGGTCTAAAGACTAAGGTTTTGTCTTCCTTCTCCTGTGAGATGATGTCTCCCTGAAGTCTCCTTGCAGGCCTGCCCTGTTGGGTCAGAAGACTCTCAGGGGACAGGTATAAATTGCACAAAACAATGCAGAAAATAGATCTAAGAAAGCTATCCCCAACTTTCTATTACTTTCCTTCCTGAAACATGGAAAAATTTTGTAAGACTAATATATATATATAATATATATAACATATTATATATAAACATATACATATATGTCTACATATGTATATGTACTTTTTAGTGTACATATGTACAATATGTATTGTACGTATATTTAGTGCATATGTGTGTATATATATAAATATATATGTTTAGTCTTATAAAAACATATACACACACATAGCTATACTTATATATATTATACACATACATATATGTGTGTGTGTATATATATACATATAGGTATATGTATATATATATATATATTTAAGCATTATTTCCTAATTGGACTTAATGCATTTCGCATCTCAAAGTAAATACCATATCATGTATTTCATTATACTTCTTTTGATTAGTGACTTATATATAGTGGATATGTAATAAATATTTACTTAGAATCTAGTGTTCTTGGCCCAGTTTTACTTGTTTGCATAAAATGGCAATAATCTATTTCACTGCAAACTATAATTTGGATTTTCAAGTAGGACCCAACAGGAAAGGAATTATTTCTCATATTCAGTCTACAAAATTATTGTAACATTGAATAACTGATTTCTCAAATAGCTCTTTACATTATAATCATCTGGAGTACTTGCTAAAAATGCAAAATTTGGACACATGTCCCCATACTCACTGATACACTTACTCTGAATCAGAATCTCTGCATTTTGCCCTGGCCCTCCATTTGGGGTCTCCTATGATATCATGGTCTCCATTATTGCTTCATATACTCTCATCATAGACCCTGTTTCAGCTAAGCAGTGCAGAAGTCTCCTTATAATCAAAGAGTCAAATGGTTTACAATTCATAATTTAGGGCTCCTGAAAGTCAAAATGGTGGTTATCATAGCCTAAAAATTGTGTATCTAACAAGTAAGTCTATGTGAACAATAAACATTATTCAGCCTCAGTAGGAGACAAAAAATCAAATGGAAAATAAAATTTTAAAATTGCCTATCAAATAGACAAATGTTTGCTTACAATACTCAGTTTTGTTGAGGATGTAGGCATTCTCATAGTTGTTGAGAGAGTAAATTGCTACATCCATTTTTTTTTTGCTTCTATTCACAGTAAGTACCAAATGCTGTATATATTGCATATACCATGACCCAATAATTCTACAGTTTGGAATGTGTCCTAAGGAAATAATCATAGTAGTGAGCAAATGTTTAGCTATAAACATTTTTTATTTAAGGATTTCACATATTTATAAGGATTTTTTTTAAAACCTAAGAATCAAGTACATGTGCTATCCAATCAGAAGGAAATGAACATAGATTCCTCTTCACCACATACACAAAAGTACACCCGAGGTGGACTGAAGATGAAAACGAAGAACAAGGAGCCCCTGGCTGGCTTAGCTGGTGGAACATATGACTCTGAGCTCGGGGTTGTAAGTTTGAGTCCCACAGTGGGTGTAGAGATTACTTAGAAACAAAATCTTTTAAAAAGAGAGAAAGAATGTAAATGTGAAGAACAAGAATAAAATATTGCAATGAAAATTAACTAAAAACATGTATAATCTTGTGATGTCATTATCTTCTTAAGCATGAAAAAAAATCCAGGAATTATAAAGAAAAAAATATAAAATGTCCAAAGACAAGAAACAGCCTGTGAAGAAATATTTTCAATACCGTGACAAATAGTGGGAAAATATCTCTATAACCCCAATAGACTTTACAGATGGAAAAAAAAAGGTTAAAAAACCAGTAAAAATTTGTATATACCATATGACCCAGCACTTCCACTGCTTTGTATTACCATAGAGATATATGTACACATATGCATGGGAAAGCATAGATTGATGTTTACTGTGTCATTGTTTGTAAGTGCCAATATATTAGAAATAGCCTAGGTCATCAAAAGGGAAAGGTCAAATAAAAAGTTGTCTATCTATGCCAAGAAAACTACACAATAGTTAAAAAGAATGAGATTCTTATATTGAAGCATCAATATAAGAATATTGTTAAATAAAGACATAATGCATCTTGGGGTGCCTGCGTAGCTCAGTCAGTTAAGAATCTCCCTAAGGCTCAGGTCATGATCTCAAGGTCCTGGAATCAAGCCCCATGTTGGGTTTCTTGCTCAGCAGGGAGTCTGCTTCTCCCTCTGTCCCTCCCTCCCAGCTCCTGCTCTCTTTCTCTCACAAATAAATAAAATCTTTAAGAAAAGACATCATGTATCTTTATGTTGCTATTGTCACAAATAATATTGTCATAAATAATTAATTACCTGGTTCATACTGCTTTAACCATACCTCTAATTTCAATCTCCTCCCTATAACACTTCTCAGTTTGATGGATATCCATCTAGAAATTTATGTATTTCCATTTTTCATTTTAATTACGTATTATAATACTACATTGTGACTTTCAGGAACCCTTAATTAGGAATCATAAACCATTATAAGGAGACTCCTGCACAACTCAGCTGAAACAGGATGACTGGTGAGTGTGCATATTAACATAGCTTTATAATTATTGTTTTATGCATTTGTCTTTTAAGTCATATAGGAAAAAAGGAGTTATAAAGCAAATATGAAAAACTACTTGCTTTTATATTTACCTATGTAGCTACCTTTACTGTTGTCTTTTATTTCTTTATATAACTTTGAGTTACTTATGTTGTTTCTCTTCTTCTCAGCATGGAAGTCCTATAGAACTTTCCAGAGGTCCGCAAATATAAATACAAATGAATCTATTTTCTATAGTATGAATGTACTGTATGTTATTAAAATTATTCCCCGTCACTCAACATGTATTTCTATACTTTGCCCACTAAAAACAATGCTGTCTGCAATTAAAATGTTTGCACATATATTCAAATTACTGGTGATTATATTTCTACAGAATAGATTCTGAAAAGTAAGATTGCTTGATCAAAAAGTATGTGATCTCTTAGATTTTCCAACTTCCCTTGCACATATGTTGGGGTCCCAACCTAATATCTTATATTACCAAACGTAATATAAGACACTTCTAAAACAATGCTGGGTAATCTTTCCATCTCCTTTCAGTGATCTTGGAAACCATGTGTACCATCTGGAACACATGACTGTGACATGAATGCAGGCTGGATACCTGAATAATCAATAGAGCAGAGCCATGCAGGAAAACCAATAACTCTCATTAAACTATGACGTGAATGAGTAATAAACTGCTTAAAATCCACTGAGATAGCCTATTTCATCTTAATATACTGTTTTACCCACACCTCCAATTTCAATCCCCTTCTCACAATTAAACACACTAGTTTGATGGATATCCATCCAGAAATTTATATATTTCTGTTTTGCATTTTAACTAAATATTGTAATATTACATCTATTGCCCTGTTGTTTTTATGCAACAATATTCCTGGAGGTGCTTCAGTATAAGAATCTTATTCTTTTCATGGGGCGCCTGGGTGGCTCAGTGGGTTAAAGCCTCTGCCTTCAGCTCAGGTCGTGATCTCAGGGTCCTGGGATCGAGCCCCACATCGGGCTCTCTGCTCAGCAGGGAGCCTGCTTTCTCCTCTCTCTCTGACTGCTTCTCTGTGATTTCCATCTGTCAAATATGTAAATAAAATCTTTAAAAAAAAAGAATCTTATTCTTTTCAATTACTGTGTAGTTTCCTTGATATAGATAGACCACAGTTTATTTAACATTTCCATTTTTTAAAAGGTTTTATTTATTTGACAGACAGATCACAAGTAGCCAGATGTAGGCAGAGAGAGAGAGAGGAAGGGAAGCAGGCTCCCTGCTGAGCAGAGAGCCCAATGTAGGACTCGATCCCAGGACCCTGAGACCATGACCTGAGCCAAAGGCAGAGGCTTAACCCACTGAGCCACCCAGGTGCCCTAACATTTCCATTTTGATGACTTAAGCTATTTCCAATACTTTGGTTCTTACAAGCAATGTCATAATAAACATTTATCTATGCTTTTCTGTGCCCCTGTGTGCATATATCTCCATGGTAATATTAAGTAGTGAGAGTGCTGGATCATGTAATATGTACATATTTTTGTTGGTTTGTTTATTTACCACAAAGCATGCCATAAACATATCCATCACCTCCGAAGTCCTCATGAATATTGATGCAAATATCCTCAACAAGGGCTGCCTGGGTGGCTCAGTTGTTAAGCGTCTGCCTTCAGCTTAGGTCATGATCCCAGGGCCCTGGCTCTGGTCATGATCCTGGCTCCCTGCTCAGTGGGAACCCTGCTTCTCCCTCTCCCACTCCCCCTGCTCGCATTCCCTCTCTCACTATCTCTCTGTCAAATAAATAAATAAAATCTTAAAAAAATATCCTCAACAAAATACTAGCAAACTAAGCCAGCTGAAGGATTTTATATCTTGATGAATTGGGGTTTACCCACAAAATTCAAGGGTTATTCAACATATGAAAATCAATGTCAAAATCTTATATTAATAAAGGAAAAGGAAAAACACATTATCGTCTCAATTGATAGAGGGGGAAAAAAGCATTTGACAAACTCCAATACCCTTTCATAATAAAAACACTCAACAAACTAGGAATATAAGTAGATTGCTTCAACATAATAAGGGGCATTTATGAAAAACTCAATGCTAGATCATACTCTATAGTGAACAATTGAAAGCTTTCCATGTGAGATCACAAATAAGACAAGGATGTTTGCTTCCATCGGTTTTGTTCTGAAAGTTCCAGCCAGAGAAATTAAGCAAGGAAAATAATTGAATCCAAATTGGAAGGAAAGAAGCAAATTATTTTTATTTGCCAATGGCATTATCCTGTATATAGAAAATGCTAAAGAATATGTAAGAAGTCTACTAGGAGCCCAGGACCTGATGGATTCCCTGGGGAATTCTACCAAACGTTCAAAGAAGAAATAACACCTATTCTCCTGAAGCTGTTTCAAAAAATTGAAGCAGAAGGAAAACTTCCAGACTCTTTCTATGAAGCCAGCATTACCCTGATCCCCAAACCAGGCAAAGACCCTACCAGAAAGGAGAATTTCAGACCAACATCACTGATGGATATGGATGCTAAGATTCTCAACAAGATCCTAGCAAACAGGATCCAACAGCACATTAAAAAGATTATCCACCATGACCAGGTGGGATTCATCCCTGGGCTACAAGGATGGTTCAACATTCGCAAATCAATCAATGTGATAGAACAAATGAATAAGAGAAGAGAGAAGAACCACATGGTCCTCTCAATGGATGCAGAAAAAGCATTTGACAAAATCCAGCATCTGTTCCTGATTAAAAAGCTTCAAAGTATAGGGATAGAGGGAACATTCCTGAACTTCATCAAATCTATCTATGAAAGACCCACAGCAAATATCATCCTCAATGGGAAAAAGCTTGCAGCCTTCCCGTTGAGATCAGGAACACGACAAGGATGCCCACTCTCACCACTCTTGTTCAACATAGTATTAGAAATCCTAGCAACAGCAATCAGACAACAAAGAGAAATAAAAGGTATCCAAGTTGGCAATGAAGAAATCAAACTCTCTCTCTTCACAGATGACATGATCCTTTATATGGAAAACCCAAAAGACTTCACCCCCAAACTACTAGAACTCATACAACAATTCAGTAATGTGGCAGGATACAAAGTCAATGTACAGAAATCAGTGGCTTTCTTATACATTAACAATGAAAATACAGAAAGGGAAATTAGAGAATGGATTCCATTTACTATAGCACCAAGAACCATAAGATACCTGGGAATAAACCTAACCAAAGAGGTAAAGGATTTGTACTCGAGGATCTACAGAACACTCATGAAAGAAATTGAAGAAGACACAAAAAGATGGAAGACCATTCCATGCTCTTGGATCTGAAGAATAAACATTGTTAAAATGTCTATACTGCCTAGAGCAATCTATACTTTTAATGCCATTCCGATCAAAATTCCACTGGTATTTTTCAAAGAGCTGGAGCAAATAATCCTAAAATTTGTATGGAATGAGAAGAGACCCCGAATCGCTAAGGAAATGTTGAAAAACAAAAATAAAACTGGGGGCATCACATTACCTGATTTCAAGCTTTACTACAAAGCCGTGATCACCAAGACAGCATGGTACTGGCATAAAAACAGGCACATAGACCAGTGGAACAGAATAGAGAGCCCAGATATGGACCCTCAACTCTATGGGCAAATAATCTTCGACAAAACAGGAAAAAATATACAGTGGAAAAAAGACAGTCTCTTCAATAAATGGTGCTGGGAAACCTGGACAGCTATATGCAGAAGAATGAAACTCAACCATTGTCTTACACCATACACAAAGATAAACTCAAAATGGATAAAAGACCTCAATGTGAGACAGGAATCCATCGGAATCCTAGAGGAGAACATAGGCAGTAACCTCTTCGATATCAGCCACAGCAACTTCTTTCAAGATATGTCTCCAAGGGCAAAGGAAACAAAAGCGAAGATGAACTTTTGGGACTTCCTCAAGATCAAAAGCTTCTTCACAGCAAAGGAAACAGTCAAAAAAAAAAAAAAAAACAAAACAAAACAAAGAGGCAACCCACGGAATGGGAAAAGATATTTGCAAATGACAGTACAGACAAAAGGTTGATATCCAGGATCTATAAAGAACTCCTCAAACTCAACACACACAAAACAGACAATCATATCAAAAAATGGGCAGAAGATATGAACAGACACTTCTCCAATGAAGACATACAAATGGCTAGCAGACACATGAAAAAATGTTCATCATCACTAGCCATCAGGGAGGTTCAAATTAAAACCACATTGAGATACCACCTTACACCAGTTAGAATGGCCAAAATTAGCAAGACAGGAAACAACAT